CCATTGCCCATCCATCACCTCCATTGCCATCAACCAGGCCACTAGCTACTGTGATCGTTGGACTTTACATTGCATTTATTTTACACTTATTCAAATAATTATAAAATTTTTATAATTAATTTCATTCATTTTACATTGTATTTCATTTTACTCGATAATTCTTTTTCAACAAACAAATAACCATTAGAAACTATTCAAATATCTCATAATTTTGTAAATCTTAATTATTATTTCATTTATAATTTACTCTTTAACATCACCTTATCTTCTTCAGTGTCTACTCGATCTCTCTTATTTTCTTAATTAATCCTTAAGATAACAATTGTGATCTAGATGCAGCAATATTACTATGGAAAATTCATAATACTTTGATCAATGTTTAATGCAAGTTTTTTTTTTTTAATTCAAGCAATCAATTAAACTTTAACTTTCTAGTCCGACCATTTGTTTGGGAATTGTTCTGACAAATTCCTTTAATTTTCAGGAGGCAAGGGTTGAGCAGCTAAAAGCGCATTGGCATGAAATACTTGAGAAATGTGAATTAGAGCAGTTAAACCTTCCAAAGCTTGATGACCCGATGGAAGTTGATACATCATTGCCTGGATCTGTTTTTGATTACAGTCAGCTGAACAGATCATACTTGCAAGATATGAGACTTGCTGAGCGGGAAAAACTTGAGATGGATTTCAAGCAAAGAATGGAGGCTTTTGTTGCTGAAATTGAACGGACAGCTCCGAACTTGAAAGCACTAGATCAGTATGAAGCTTTACAAATAAAAGAAAAGGAAGTCACTGAAAAATTTGAAGCTGTCAGGAAGGAAGAGAAAGAAGCTTCTGATAAATATAATGCTGTCAGGCAAAGGAGGTATTTAAAATAGAGTAATCGCTCGTATTTATTCTTACAAATTACCTTTTGATAGGGTGTTATTCGTGATAGTTTTCATTATGTTCTTAAGTGGACTTTCTATAGAATTTTAGATGTCAACTTTTCAATCCTTGAATTGTTTTTCTGCCTTGCTAAGTGCAAGTAAATTTCATACTTCCAAATCCACTACTGTGGCATCAAAATATATTCTGGCTTTATATTTATATAATTTATATTTTTGTGACGTATGAAGGTATAGTTGGCTGATTGGATCTTGTCTTATATGGATTTCAATAAATTTTTCCAATCTAAAACATTAAACTTTTCATGCCAGCATTTTGTTATGTTGCTATGACAAAATCTAAATCATGAATGCATGAAGTTTTACGGTAATAGTTGGAATCAAACTTTACTGCATACTTGTTCTTTTATTTGTAAATAACATGTGTAACCTGAATCTTAATTTTCTAGGAAACGTAAATGTTTATACCTAATTGCTTATAATTATTGCTTTGATAAAATCTGACGAACTTGAAATGCAGGTATGAGCTGTTTATGGAGGCTTTTGAGCACATTTCTACAAACATCGACAGAATTTACAAACAACTAACAAAGAGTCATACGCATCCACTTGGTGGAACAGCCTACCTGAATCTTGAAAATGAGGATGAGCCCTTCTTGCATGGAATAAAATACACCGCCATGCCACCCACAAAGCGCTTCAGGGATATGGACCAGCTATCAGGTGGGGAGAAAACTGTTGCTGCACTCGCCTTGCTCTTCGCTATTCACAGGTATCATTTCCAAGACAAGGTAGATGTAAATTATGTGGTATCCTTCCTTGAGGCACAGATTAAGATAGCTTTCATAAAGCCTGTGCTGGTGAAACTCTGACGTGATCTAGCTAGGATGTCTAAGGCTTCGTTTGGGATGGTTTTTTACTGCTTCTTAAATCGACTTTCTTGTATAAAAATTTTAATTTTTGTATTAAAAAGCTGTTTTAAGAAACAGTGAAAAAGCCATCCCAAACGAAACCTAAATTGGGCTTTCAAAAACCCTTTTTGCTGCTTTGTCGGTCTAGTTTAATGGCTTGAAGAACCTTTTTACCGGCAACTTATTCTAATTGTCTTCTGTGCCATAATTGCAGTTACAAGCCATCTCCATTCTTCATCCTTGATGAAGTAGACGCAGCACTGGATAATTTAAATGTTGCCAAGGTTGCTGGGTTCATCAGATCAAAATCATGCAGCGGGGCTAGGATTGAACAAGACGGCGAAGCTGGGTGTGGCTTTCAGAGCATTGTTATCTCTTTGAAGGATACCTTCTATGACAAGGCTGAAGCATTGATTGGAGTTTACAGAGACTCTGAGAAAAGGTGGCTTCGCTTCTTCATCTCTTATTTACTACCTTGGAACCTCTGTACAACTTAATAACGCTAATCCATGAACTTGTGATTTGTGCAGCTGTTCACAAACATTAACATTTGACTTGACCAAGTATAGGGAAACCTGAATGAACTTTAGGAGTTCAGATTGGAGCCTCGTTACTGTAAATGCAGGTGACATTATAATGAATGGTGATAGTTATTGGTTCGTCTTCTATAGCTTCTGAAAATGGTATGTACTATAGCTGATTGTTGTCTGTACTTACCGTTTAACTCCCTATGTATAGGTTTGTGATCAAGTTTCGACTTTACTTATTTAATTCAACCTATTTTGGTGGCTTAGCTTTTGACGAGGATTCTTTCAAATTCCAATTTGATCGCTTTCGTTTTACTTGATCGAAGTTAGCTCAGGGCTTACTTGGTTGCTATAAACACCAAAATTGTTACAAACTCAATATACACACAACCTCAATCAAAAATATTTTTGAAGATCACACTCTAATAGGTCCATTCATACAAATGAAGTTCAAATAATTGTAATGTTTACATTCTCTTTGTGGCTATTTGTAACAAGGAATTGTATGCTTAAATTTAGATCTATAGAAAATAGCTTTCTTCTTGGAAGTTCTGTTTTCTATTGTGAAGACCAGTCTTCCTGGTTCGTGAATGTAAAATGAGTTCCTTGCCGGTTTCTCGAGCTTCTTCTCCACTTTTATGAGTATCTTATATGAGCCTTCGTCATCTGGAATGAACTCCTCTCTGTACAGAACCTCCCATCCTACAACTATGATATCCCAAAGCACTGTTACTCCTGCCTGACATTAAATGCAAAGTTTTAATGTGCAAATATTTCATAATAATTGATATAAATATATGCATCATAAGAGTAAGACTTCATTTGGAATAGTTTTTTTACTGCTTTATAAAATTATTTTTTAGTATAAAAATTTACTTCTTGACCGTCCATCTTTGTCTCAAGAAAGTAACAAAGAAGCTGTCCCAAATAAAACCTGGAATGATTTTTTTACTGTTTCTTAAAGCAGTTTTTTAATACAAATTTTTTGTATAAGAAAACTATTTTAAGAATCATTAAGAAAGCCTGTAAGATACAAAATTGCTAGCTAAATCTTACCAGCTTATAGCAAATATGGCCTTTAGAGAAGTCAGTTAATAGAAAGATCGGCTACTACCCTTAAAAAATTACCTCTACGATTGGAATTTCAACATGAGTTATCTTTCCTCCCTTCACAAAGGTCTCTGAAACTCTCCCATCCTCAGCTAGAAACTCATCGTCGTTTTCTCGCTTAAAACCACCGTATTGGATTGGTATATTCTCTGGGTCAATGTATCTATATATTTCACAAGAACAAAATTAGTCGTATGTTTCCAATAAGAAATAATGCGTTAAATTTAGTATGTTATCATTCTTACCTCAACAGAGTTTCAGTGACTTTATAAGGCCGAGCAAACACAAATTTGCTTTCAGTTCTTTGAGTGAGCAATGGTGAGAACAAAGCTCTGTAGGTGTAGTGTCGAAGTGAAATATTCAGAAAAATCTGAAAAAGCAAAATTATCATAATTAGCTGTATATAGATCATCAAAACTTCTACAAAGAGCCATGCCTTTGCAACTTTTAAAAACTAAGCAATCATTTAATTATTATAATGGAACCTATTTCTCCATAGTTGAGCAAAATGAGAGATTTAGTACTGCACTATAGAGGCAAGGGGTCCTCATGCACTAGGTATATTATTTTTTACCATTGCTGCGTCCTGGAATATTCTTAGCAGTAGAGAAATATAAAGTTTAATGTATTAGCTATGTACGAAGATCCAGCACACAATCAGATAAAAGAGATGGTGTAGCATTCATAAGAGACACCAGAGTTTTTATATGGAAAACCTTAAAAAGGGGGAAAACCACGGGGCCTTTGCCCAGCTTGAATGAATCCACTAGTGTTTGCAGCCAATTGCAAATCGGGGTGTCAATATTGGACCACACCTAAAAACTCGACCCGAACCCAACCCAAAATTTTTGGGTTTGGGTTGACCCAAACCCGAAGCGGGTCAGGTTCGGGTCCGAAAAATCGATCTGTTTGCAAAATAAAGTTGGGTTCGGGTTGACTCGAGAACCCGGGAATGACCCAAAAATCGGCCCTGCTCACTCTGACCTGCCTTGCCTGAGTCTGCCCATCTGCCCCGCGGCCCCGCATACCCCGGATGCTCTGCTTGCCCCGGCTGCCCTGCCTGCCCCGCGGCCCGTCTGTCTGCGTCGCATCGAGCCCATCAAGTCGCATCGTGTCGCATCGAGCCATCAAGTCGTCGCTTGCACCATCGCCCGCTTCCTCCTCTAGTCCTCCCCTATTTCAATGAAGAATGATGGTTTTATTTATAGTGTTTTGAAAGTGGCATGGCCAATAAATAAGAAGGATATCAATATCAGTTGGGAGTGATTTGAATGGACGACTGATATTGATTCCCTTGATCATGGACCATTTATTAGGCATTTGAATGTCTTAATGGTTTCATAATTTGGCAATCTTGGGCTCGTTGGATTCTTCTCTTCAAGTTGCTCGATTTGACTATAAGCATGTAACATTTGGAAATCTTTTGTTCATCAAATTTATGGTTTGAATCTCCGGATGGTGGGGAAATGATGATAAACCCGATCAAGATCTCATGGTTCCGTCATCCTAGGTCATCATGGTCCTTGGTCTACTTAGTCAGAGGAGTTAGTCGACCCAACCTGACAAAAGGATTTTTATCGGCATCCATAGGTTGCTTTGTCCTAGGATACCTTGTAGACCTGAGGTGAATATTTGTCTAAGGAGACAATTTTGAATCCACCTTAACTAATAGAGGGTTGTATGCCCTATTAATCATATCCTATTGATTTATTACTCAATGATTTAATGTTGTTGAGAAACATATGGGCTCTGATCATGACTGTAATTTAATGGTGTAATTTTGTAGCAAAACCATCCGATCATAATTGTTTACTTGTAATGCCATTTGACAACAGCTTTAAATAATTATCATGAGGATTACATAATTATAATAACAATATTATTATTATTATTATTATTATCATGAGGATTTTGGAAATGACTCAGAGACTCATTCTAAAATTCGTGCATTGATACCTCGATTTGCGTGTGTTTTCTCAAAATCTGAACATTTTGCCTCGGAATAAGCTTAAATTTCTCCATGCGGATTTCATTGGTCAAAATTAAAGTTCATTTTATGTATTTTTAGCGTTCCGAACGCAATAGCAAAGTTCATTTTGCGATCGAAGGTCGTTTGGGAAACGTCGAGCGTTAATTTTCGGTGTCAATCATCTATTTTGACCATTCTCACCCGGTTTGATTGCTAGGGGTTCCCTCTAAGGCTAATTCGATGCTCCAATCGCAACAATATTGTCCGTTTTGCGATTGGAGATCGTTCGACCTTTCAAGTAATACGCCGCGCCGATACGCGTCACTTCAATCACCCAATTTTCCCTTGTTTTGTGCGTCTTTAGTGTAGAGGTCAACAATATCATGAAGCATTAAAAATATAACAAAAGCCGAAAAAAAAATGAACTGGAGTTTTATTCTGAATCTCAATATTTGTGCAGAAATTTAGATAATGAAAGTATGAAGCTGTAAATCTCATAAATAAATAAGGTTTAAAAGATATGTATGAATTTTCAACAACCAAACGATCCAAACTTATCTGAGTTGTTAAATTTAAGAGAAGCGCCTATGTAATGAAATATAAATTCCAATAAACAAAGTTCTTACATTTTTAAAGATGAACTCGGGATAGTTGTCCTGAAAGATCTTGATCATCTTCTCAATAGTATTTCTCAGCTCCTTCATAGAAGACCCAAGCAAATCCTTAAGATCTATGACCTGCACCATGGCTGAAGCCTTTCCAAGCTTGAAGCTGAGAAGCTCCTGAATTCCTCTCTCCATGAACTGAACCCTCCACCTCAAAAACCTCTCCTGCTTCTCTCTGCTCCCAAATGCCTCATCGTACAGCCCACCCTTCCTTAATGATCCATACACATTGTAACAAACAGGGTGCCCTTCCCTATCAAATCCATCCATATATGCAGTTCCCATAAAATATTCTGAATCCAAGTTTTCTTTCAGGATTTCATCTACACCATTCTCATTTCTCCACCTCAATGTTCTCTGAATCATTTCAAAAGTTTCACATAGCTTGAATTCTCTTGCTCGAAGGAATTTAAGAAGGATGGTGTCAAGGCAATCATTTGATTTTGAAGGAAGGAGAGGGACACCCCAAAGAGAAATTTTGCTATTTTCTGATGTGGAAGTGACTTCATTAGTAGAAATAGAATAGGAAGCAATGCGAGGTTTAAGAATGGTGCTTCTTTTCGGAGCTTGAGAGTTTGGATCGAGGAAGAGAAGGCGGTTTCTTTTGATGGATTCTTCGAGCTTGAGCTTGAGATCATGCAGGGTCTTCTTCTCGGATGGCTTGAGTTCTTCCAAGGCCATGCTTGGGAGGAAGGAGAAGAGAAGAGTAGAAGGAAGCCGTCGGTTTTGTTTTTCTTTTCTTGGAGAAGAGATAGAGGTCTCAATTGAAGAATATGCTTAAAGAGGGGGGATGGCAATTGGCATGGAAGGTTGGAGAATAATTTGTGAGTTTTGGTTGTTGAAGTGTTCAAACATTATAGGCTTTTACTATTTTGGAATGATGATGAAGGTGTTTTCTAAAATTGAGCAATTCTTAGCTTTTTTTATTAATTTTAAGAATTTTGAAGTATTTGGCTTTCTGATTTAGGGGTTTTTTGGTTGGAATACTTTATCGTGTAAAATATTTTAAAATACAGGAGTTTTGACAATTTGGTGCTTGATTAGATGAAAGCAAAAAAAAACAAAATAAAATAAAATAAATAGTGTAAATCATTCTAAAAATATTTTGAATATTGTTAAAAATTATTATCATTGTTATCAACCAACGTCACCATATAAAAAAATAAAAAGAATAAATTTTAAAATGTCAAATATATTTATTTATATTAATCAAATAAAATAAACATGACAATTAAAAATAATCCTAAATGGCCCCTTAGTGTGGGCAAATTATTGGGTCAGGTGATCGGAGGCGAAAAATAAGTTCGGACATCCAATAAAAATTTGTCGTGTCAGCTTGCGCTTTAGTTGCGCTTTTTGACTTGCGCTTTAGTTGCGCTTTGGTTGCGCTTTAGTTGCGCTTTTTGACTTGCGCTTTAGTTGCGCTTTGGTTGCGCTTTAGTTGCGCTTTGGTTGCGCTTTAGTTGCTTGTCTCTTCTTTTCTGAGTCCTTTATGTTTTGCCAGCACCTGTTTTCTTGCTTATTGTTGTCTTTGTGTATATTTTCATTACTTGTAACTTAAACTTTATCTTTTAATTCATGGGTCTTGGACCCCGGGTTTACCCAAAAAAAAAGTCAATTGACACTACGTTGCACAAAACAGGTTCTATATACTCTGACGCTACACAAAAATCACCAAAAATATTATCTACTTACAAAACGTACTTCACCAATGCACTCAAAATATCAAAATTAACGAATATACCCTTTATGCCCGGCTCCATTAGGTGAAGAAAACGACGAATAATTATTAGGTACGGAGTGCAGATCGGGAGAGCACCGTCTGCACAGACACAAAGTACCAAGCGGTACCTAGTGGTACCCAGCGGTACCGAACGGTATCTAGCTGGATTTTATACTAGTGTGCAGACGGTTCTCCCCGTCTGCACTCCGCACCTAATAATCTCTCATGACGGTGTGTCTGCGTTGGAAAATTATTAGGTCCGGATACCAGATGTAAAAATATGTCTGGTGTCCAATAAAGTATTGACATGTGAAATATACACATATTCGAGAAATTGTTGTAAAGTGCAGATAAAATACAGTTAAAGCGCGGTTAAAATGCAGATAAAATGTAGTCAAAACGTAATAAAAAAATGCAGTCAATACAAAATCCACGTGACAATTTTTAATTGAATATATGTCCGATGTCCGGACGTAATAATTTTTCGTCTTCATTAGCCTCAATAAAAAATTCAACCATGGTACGATGCATTTTTCATTGTTTATGATTGATAACTACAAGTAATCTTTTTTCAAATAAGAACCAAAATATCCTTTCACCAATACTATAAGTAATTCATTCAATTCATTAGAAGTGAGTATAAAAGCTCCAGAAATTATCCGAATCTACTAAGAATTCCTTCGAGCTAACATTGGCGCATTAGTTATTGTATTACAACTCAGGATTAGTCACTACTGTTGCCATAAGGCCTACATCCCAAATTTTATTTGCATTAAAATAAGATTTTATTTGGGACAACTTCACTGTTCTTTAAAAGCAACTTTTTAATACAGTTTTTTTTTAAATTAAAAAATTTTGTATTAAAAACTGCTTTAAAAACAGTAAAAAACTGTCCCAAAAAAATCTAAGACATTGCATAAGACCTATGTTACAATCATCCTATACTACTAAGTTTCTCTCAGATAAAAATCAGAAAAAAAACTTTGAAAATAACTTAAGAAAGTTAATCAAATCTCTGCGCTAGCATTACATTTCTATAATTCAATTGACATCGATGAAGATAGGCTGAGATTCCACCGTCCTTCGAGGGAAATCCTCATCAAAATCCAGTGTCAGCGTTGTTAACCTTTCTGTTCCATTTTTTAACTCCTCCATAACAGTTAAGACAAGAGAGCTGAATGAACTAGTGATGGTACACAAGCAAAATACATGTAGAAGTTCATAGAATCTACATTATTTCAAAACATCAGAAGTACACAACTGAAACAGGAACGAAAAAAACTAAAAATAGTCTCTAATAAACATAAATTTTTCATATACAGTGAAAATAATAAGAACCTTATAATCATTAGAATAACTAAAACAGAAGCCTCAGTCTTTCTTATCAGCGCTGCTACTCTCATCAAGAACAGAGTCACTGTTCTTGGTATGAAGAATGTTTCTCTCTTCTTCCTTTTCACCAGAAACAGAAACTTTCTGTTGTTCTGAGGTAACCAAATCACCATGAACCTGTTCAGCAGCTGGAGTATGAATTAATTCAAGCTTGGCATAATTTGCCAAGACCTGCTCAAGCTCATCATGCAGATTCAAAGCTTCAAATAGCATTGATTCATCATCAGTAGTTGTTTCTATGATTCTCCGCAGAACAGGCTGGTATTCCTTACACTTTTCTGCCATGCTTATTAACAGCTCATCCTACATTACAAGCCAAGCATGCGTCAGTGCAATGCACACAAAGATAAAACAAGAGCAATGATTTGCGATCTGATTCCAACAGTAGAATCAGGGCAAATTATTTGGTGCGGAGTCCGGAGTCCGGACGTAGCATTACGTCCAGACTCCAATTAAATTTGCACACGTTTAATACGGACACGTGGATATTTACTGTGCTTTTTGTAAGGAAAATTTTTTAGAAATTTAAAACGTGTAATTTGCTGCCCTTTTGTTGCGCTTTTGCTATTCTTTTGCTGCGCTTTCACTTTGTTGCGGTTGCACTGCACTTTCACTGCGCTTTTACTACGCTTTTATTTTTGCTACTCTTCGACGAGAAATAAAATCACCTAAAAAAATTAAATCCAATTAAATCTCCACGTGTCTGTATTACATGTGTACAAATTTAATTAGTCTAGACATAGAGCTACGTCCAGACTCCGCACAAAATAATTTGCCCATAATCAGAGTGTGAAAAGTTGAAATTTTAGAGAATAGTAGAGGTATTTTATAAATATTAGAGAACAGAAATATTTGTACACGTGTAATACGGACACGTGGATATTTACTGTGCTTTTTGTAAGGAAAATTTTTTAGAAATTTAAAACGTATAATTTGCTGCCCTTTTGTTGCGCTTTTGCTATTCTTTTGCTGCGCTTTCACTTTGTTGCGGTTGCACTGCACTTTTGCTGCACTTTCACTGCGCTTTTACTACGCTTTTATTTTTGCTACTCTTCGACGAGAAATAAAATCACCCTAAAAAACTAAATCCAATTAAATCTCCACGTGTCTGTATTACACGTGTACAAATTTAATTAGAGTCTGGACATAGAGCTACGTCCGGACTCCGCACCAAATAATTTGCCCATAATCAGAGTGTGAAAAGTTGAAATTTTAGAGAATAGTAGAGGTATTTTATAAATATTAGAGAACAGAAATGAATTGCTGACCGAAACTTTCAAACTGAGGCAAAAAAGCTTGCTCAAGATGCAAGCATCAAGGCATTTATTGCAAAGTGTACCAGAAAAATGAGCATCATTGGCCATGATAGTTTATAAAGAAAAGTATCGTTAACTAAGAAATAATGCAAGAACAAACAAAACAAAACCATGGTTAAATAATGGAACAAATATTACAATCACATACAACAATAATAGCAGCTTTATCAGAAGCATGCAGCTTCATGAATGCTTAAAAATTATTCTTTTCGTGAGCTGCATTGGGTTTTAATTCTTCTTAATTCCTCTTTAGTCTTCGCAGTTACCCGACAAGAAGCCCAGGAAGAACCTGAACCGGTAACAGCTTTCATTATACCGTCATGAATCATCTTTGATCACATTATTTGCTGAGAACACATTTTGGGCTCCGAAAATTCGGCCCCGGCCTCCGCCCGCTGTTGCTTTTCTTTTCGGGGGGAGTTTTAACGCATTAAGTTCCGAGGTAAATTTTGGAAGGCAGATGGATTTGTAGATAAGACACTACCCAGAGATTTCGCCTTCATTTTTGCGAGGACTTTATGATCTGAGTTCTGGTTTCCTATAGGCGCAAACCCCTATAGTTAATTACCCCTCTCGATCACGAGAGAAAACTTTTGATTAAGACTAGTCGTCAATCAGATACGTAGAATATACGTGTTATCTGGCATATAGTAGAAGCATGGGTATAGAAATGTGGAAATTGGAAAGTTGGATTATTTGATATTTAAAATAGAAATTTCACAATCTTGCACTTAAAGCGGATGGTGGGGGAATGGATAATAGACCCGATCAAGATCCCATAGTTCTGTCGTCCCGGGCCATCGTGGTCCCTGGTCTACTTAGTCAGAGGAGGTAGTCGACCCAACCTGACAGAAGGATCCTTGTCGGCAGCCATGGGTTGCTTCATCCAAGGGTACCTTGTAGACATGGGTTGAATGTTTGTCTAAGGGGACAAATTTTAATCCACCTTACTTAACAGAGGGCTTTGTATCCTATCGATCATATCCTATTGATTCATATCTCAAGGATTTGATGACACTAAGGAACGTATTGGTTCTGGCCATAACTGGTATTTCGTGGCACCATTTGGCGGCAAAACCACTCGGTTCAGAGGGCCCCGGGTCATAACCGTTTACCTGCAGTGCCATTTGGCGGCGAAACTGCCGGTTAGAGGACACGTACCACGCCCTTACTGGCAAGAGATTGTCTTGAGAATGGATCCTAGTGATATTTTCTACTAGGCATTTGGCTCTTTGTGAGCTAGAGTAAATTTTAATTTCCGTTTTTAAAAATGGGTTGGGTTCGGGTTGACCCGAACAGTGCTGGGTCAGTTCCGAGTTCGACCCGAACCTGACCCGCTGACCCGAATTAACACCCCTAGTAAATTTTAATTTGTCCACCCCTGCAAACTGTTGCAGAGGGTGCATGGGTTTTTCTTTAAGTGATTTAATGGTTAGATTTCAATTTTAAATATTTTGGATTCTAATGATTTTTTGAAATCTTGGATTTTTGGATATTTGGGACGGCATTTGGAATATTTGTGAATGGACCCCTCCGGTTGATATTTGCATTCAACACGGCCATCATCGGAGTGTTTAGGGTCATTTTCATTTAATTAAACCTTGTCGACCCTATCAACTTGCCGATAGGGGATCGGGTTTCGTAGACTTCATGCCTTTATTAGTGAATTTTCATTGTTATAGGCCTTGAAGGCCTAATATGAATGTATTAAAACAAATATATTGGTCGCCGCAACCGTATATTTGTTTGATGGTTCGAACTCTGTCGACTTTTATTGATCCGCATAGAAGGATCGGGTTTGAACTTGAATTCAATTATCAACCCGCGCAGCATCCCTAGACGTCACGTGTACTTATAACACGCTCGACGGGGCCCATGCGGGTGTTTGGGGGCATTTTGTAATTATTTATTGAACCTTGTTGATTCTCTACATGCTTAGGAAGATCGGGTTCAAATTTATTGACCCGCATAGCATCTCTAGGCGTCACATGTATTCCTACAACATGCTCGCCGGGGCCCATGCGGGTTTGGTGATTTCCCTTATCATTTTTTGTGTACCTATGTGCATACAAATTACGGTGCATGTGTGAGAGCATTTTCAGATATTTGTAAACGTCTTCTGTCCGCTTGCATGAATATTGCGGATCCGATGGCGTGGCGTAGCAGCTTCTGAATAGAGTTGTCTGCTGCATTGCACAGGTAGACTGTTGTGCACTACATGTCTCTTTTTTGCAGTCGGATCATAGTGCACTAACGAATCTCCTGCTTTTGGATATAGGTGAATCGTAGCGTTGCCACCTGATTGCAATAAGATATTTCATTGTTCAAATATAGACTCCCTTTTCTCATTCACCGAGAGGTCATTCTTGAAATTCATGATTGATGACTTGAAAGGAACTCCTTCAAAGATTTGTCATTTCCGGTGTTTGTGGATGTCGGAACTGTTTTCTTCCTAAGTATAGAATCAAGAAGAGATTTTGGAACACCAGGAAGTTTAGTTCGAATTAATTCAAACATCTCTTCCATTCTGCCAGGAGATGTCCTCCGTATATCGAGTCGTCTTCATACCCGACGTACTAGCAGCATCTCAATCACCGCTGTTGTAGGTGCTATATGTACTTGTGTCCACAGTGATTCATTGTGCTTACGAGGTACCCATTGTTGTTATCCACAAGCACTATATCAAGTATTACTGCTTGCGTGGAGTGTTATATGTATGACAAATTTCCTACAATAACCCGCAAGGACTGGCATTTGTTGTAGTCCTTTGGCATTTGTCTTGTGGATAATATTTTGAGTGTATCACAAACTTTCTACAATCACCCATAGACATTTGCATTCACTTCATATTATCTGCCTCCACCTGCAGTAGATGGATGTATTTATTGATCATTGATAGAGCATTGATTGCAAGGATGTTATAACGTCCATTGCTTGTTGTTGATTAGCACTCATAAGCTTGTGATTGTGGCGAATCTCCCTTCACCGCCAACAAGTGTTTGTATCTACAATAAATTTTCTTAGACTTGCTTATATTCCTCCTTCATTGATGTGAGAAAAGAATCCGGGGGATGGGGGACCCGAGGACCTCCGCCCACAAAAATAGGGTAAACAGCCTTGACTAGATAAAAGAAAAGGACTCCTATGTAATTAAACGAACAAACTCTTACATTTCAAATAAAAGAAAGACTTAGAAATCAAAAAGACTTACAAACAACGACTTAAAAACTTTGAACTCTTCTTAAACTTGACTCTAATAAAGGACACCCTAAACTTGCTTTCCAAAAAAAGAAGGAAACAGATGAGGTGGTCACTTGCGGAGAGACGAAAGAGGTTAGAAGCCGAGAAGAATGGTGGAAAGAGCTCGCAAGATTTCCAAAGCGGTGGAAGAAGGTGGACAAAGCTCACAAGCTTCTCCAAGAAAATCTCAAGGATTTCTTTTCCAAAAATTCATATATCTCTCTTTAAAACATTACATAACCCCTCATATTTATAGGTATGAAAGGGGGAATACAAACAGCCACACAAATTGAATTCCCATAGGAATCCAAACATCACAAGCCACGAAAAAGCCCCCTGCTTTTCACGGGAAAACAGCCCGGCCAGGGAACCGAATAAGCAGCCACAAGAACCAAAGAGGCCCGCACAGAACCGAGGATATTGACCATTACATAGTGCTTAGCTTTGTATTACAA